CGAAGAATGACATGGCGTGGGCGAGGCATGCTTGAAAATTGATCACCAATGCCAGATTTGGATATTCCCACGTGGTATGCAACGTGAGCAAAGCTTCAATACCGCACAATAGACGGGCACAACCAATTTTGGCTTTGTTCACGCTCTCAGCCTTATGGTTTGCGTCATTGCTTGAGCTGTGTTGACCGCGGAGGCAACGCGGGCAACGAGAGTGAAGCACTGAGATCCAGGTTTGCGAGCCGCACGATGCTCTGGTTTGGATTGATAGAATCGCGTCGCGATCTGCTTCGTGAATGTTGAAAATTCTTGCTCTAAATTTGCACCGCTCTAACGGCTGCACTTGAGTAATGAGAAAACAGGCTATTGCAACTGTGGCATTGGCGTTTTTGTGGTCCGTTAGGATACCATGGATAAGAACGGCCAGACGTACGGCTGTGAATGGAAATAATTGTTCCGGTGTTGCTGCTTGTCGACGAGGAAGTCCGCGATCGAATTGCACTAGTAGATCACACCTTGGGAGCATTGAATGCATCTTCACCATGCCAAGTACTAACACTGCTTATGGTCTTGCAACCGCACCGCCTAAAGAGCGCGATGTATGTAAATGTGAGCCCCATGTGGGCTACTTTTGAGACTGCTTTCCGACTCTGTCCCACCCATCCATGGCGTGGGGGCACAGTGGTTTCTGTGGGTGCACTTTGGAGTCGCTGCGGGCCAATTCTCAGCCAGAGTCCTTCGACAAGGTCACATTTGGGACCTGCTGTGCGTCTCCCCACAAGCGCATGCGCAGCCATGAAGGGCATGATATCACACCCTTCATGGTCATGCACAGGAAACGATTTTCCGCTTTTCAACATGGAAACACCGCCAGCAGCCTTCGACGTGGGGCATGACAGGGCAGGTCGGCCGGGGGTGCTGCGGATACAGACCATGAGCATGGAGACGTGACGGGCACGAGACGAAGATGGAGACCAAATGCCCCCCCACCCCCACCCCCACCCCCACCCCCACCCCCACCCCCACCCCACCCCCTAAACCACCAAAAACCCCCGTCTCCCTCACCGTCTCCGAATGGGGCTCATATTTGATATAAAGGGGGGAAAATTGAGGGGGTGGAAGGGGGGGAAAGGGGGGGAAAGGGGGGAAATGAAGGAGGAAGAGAGGGTTCACTATATGATCCAACAAAAGTACTATGAAACATTAAATTCCACATAATTGTTATATGAAAACATCACAACAACATGTCGTATCAAGAAGTTAAATCAAAATATTGGTGTAACTCACTAACAACTCTATTGGTAATATTGAAGCATGCTTTTCAACCTGATTGATTATTAGGCATGCTCATCAAAATATGAGTTGTTATTGTGGGTTGGACAATTCAAAAGTAGGATATGTGTTGAATGCATTTAAATTGCAATATAAGCCAATCCATGTTGCAAAGAAGACAACTACCAAATATTTAACTTTTGCTGTGGTGTGGAGAGCAAGACTTATTATTGAAGTCGTAAACACATATCGTATTTGCATTTCTAGAGGAGAAAACGCATAAAAATACGTAAATACAATGTAACCCCAGCCTCGTGTACATAGGAACAATACATACAGCCTTTGTGACTCCGGGGAATGGCATCCATACACACTGGAATAGGTGGAAAACGAATTTCGTTCCACTCCATCGTGACCCTTGCCGAGTGGGAAGTGGACGTTGTGTTGTGGGTGCTCAAGGGGGGCGGTGTACTGATTACTGTACGCAACTTTTATCGCGTAATGTGGGTACCACAGCGAACCGTAGAAACATAAAAACTGCCATAAAAATAGTTTCTTTTTCAAATTTACATTTTTGCGTATAAAAAGTAAACATAAGAATGTAAACAAACGCAAATAACAAGCTTGTGGAGAGGTGCGTGACGAAACTAATCGTGATTTGTATGGATTCATATCAGGTTGTTGAGCCTGCAATATGTGCGGTTTTGCATTTCCAAAAGAAATGTTGTAGATCGGCCAACAAGATACAAGGAGCTTAGATTGATCCTACAGATAACAATCAAGAAAACCACAAACAAGGTATCAATTCTTCTAAGCAACTATTAGCAACATGGACAATGCATGTATGGTGCAATAAAACTTGTTGACATAGTGTTGGTGTTATTGTAGCGTAAATACGATCAATACCAAAAGCGCGCAGAATCACCACAATAGGCACTTGTCAAAGATTTACAATGATACGCCATGTTCATACACATATTTCATATATAAAGTAAAAGTTGCAATCATCAGGCTGTCCCAAGGAATAACCCAGGGAACAAGGAGAGAAGATCAAACCCTCGCAAAGCAAACTCATGTGTATCATTATGGGACTGCATGCAATAAAAGTATGCCTATTCAAAGAGGCATCCGGTGGCTGCACTCTTTATTTATTGCGTTGAAAACGCTTACCAAGTGTAATCAATCAGCCCACAAAGGACTGCTGCCCTGTTTTGCGCTATTGGCCTTGCAACCTCACGCTCCACCTATGGAATCCCAAACAGCAAGTGTTCCCCAAAAAATGGACAGCCCTGGACAGCGGGCCATTCTCTTGGCTTACTAGCTGAATTTGGGTTGCTCGGCTGGTGTCAACATCATGCGAACCAACCCACACATTTGCATCTATCTTGCCCAAGGTATTTAAAAGTCAAGGGATCCCTTGACCTCCAGTCCGGACTGGAGGAACGAGATACTTGATTGTAGTCTAAGGGCTGTGCAGCACCCCACATTATGTATTGCATGAGAGTGGCACACAAGCCAGAATCTAAAGTGCTCATGTTTGATCAGTTCCGCTTTTGTTTCGGGTCCTATTTCTAGCCAGCATATTTAACATTTAAATGTTCATATCCGTCTACTGTTACATCTGCAGCTTCATCATGTTTAGTGTACACATTAAGCTGCCTAACCTGCCATTCTTCGATTCCTAATGGCGAGCAATTCAATTTATACTTCGTCTACCCAACTAATAACTAATCTGCTACCTAGCAAATCTCTCCACATCAACTCCTTTTGTTCACCACTTTCCCCATGGCTGCTAATCATTACATTCACTGCCCAACTAATCTGACTTGACTACTTCTAGGCCAATCCTGTTACTTGCATGCCTTTCAATTGTGTAAATGCTTTCCATTACGTAGCTTGCTATTTCCTAAGTGATCATTGTTTGTGGCTGTGCAAGCCTTTGGGTCCATGATCTCAACGAGTCCAATGCACATCATTAGGCTATCCGCTTTTAACTCGACTATATTCGCCATTGAGAGATGTAGCGCCACTTCACATAAGCAAGCAGTTGTGAAACAACAGAAATTGCTTAAGACGAAACTGACGTTGCTATTGTTGTACATTTTTTGTGTGGCCTGCAGGTAAAGCACTATTCATAGTCTTGTATCTGCTTGTTGAATTTGGGGCCACCATATCACTCTGGAACTCTTCAGTACTTCTCTTCTCTTGTAATTCAATCTGCCAGGAGTGTTGCTTAATGATGGTAACAGGCCGATGTTCGATTATTTTTGTGTTGATGCTTAGTGATGGTCAAAATTCGTTGTGCACATCCTGTTTCACTGCCGTTTTGTGATGGGACAAACTGAAACGCTATCACGTTGATCATCATCACTGGTGCAGGCTTGAAATGGAAAAGACTTTTGCACATATTGTACATAGCCCAGCTGCAATGGGGCAGTAGATTCTCAAGTCAAGGAACTACTTGGATCCATTGCTACAACATCCTGGGCGCCTTTTGTTGTTCATAGATCAGTTGCAGTGGGGCAGTAGATTCCCAAGTCAAGCAATGAATTAGATCCCCTGCTACAACCTCCCAAGTGCCTCCTGTGTGACCCATTGAGTTGGGTTGTGCCAGGTCTGACCACCGACTAGGATGCAGTTGCGAACAGCTTTTCCTTCTGGGGAATCTGGTCCTTGGTGACGATTGAAGGCTGGTTTTCCTAGACCCACATTCTTTCAGGGTGGAGCCAGGAGCAGCAGCCTCTTCCATGCTCTGCCGCTCCCCCTAAAGTTTATCCCCCAGTTGTGGGAAGGCTCCCCATCGGCGATTGCTGACCGACCGTTCCAAGGGGCGCGCAAAGCGTGATTCGCACCACGAGTCTGTGGTCCAGCCCCTCTTGCCGTAACAGTCTGTTCCTGGCTGCCGCACCGTGGCGCTGCCCATGGCCCGTTCGGGGAGGCGTGTGCCAAGGGACCCAGCCAGCATGCGCCCCGCACACTCTAAGCGGCGTCCCTTGAGCGCTCGCAGCAAGGGTCGCAGCGCGAACCGTGAGCTATGGGCGCTGCCCCGTGACAGAGGCGGAGCCTGGGTCAAAACTGGGCGGCAGCGGCCTGGCTGGAAGTCGTGATAACAGTCCTGTCCGCTGATTGGAGGAGAGTCTTGGCGATAACTCTCGCTGCTTCTCATTGGCGGACAGTTATGAAGGCGATAACTGTCGGCGCACCTCATTGGTGGAGAGTCATCAGGGACGATAACTGTCGGCCAATGACGGGCGCGGATTTGCCCCCCCGCCGACCCTATGACCCCGCCCCGTCTCCCTCACCGTCTCCAGCCCCGTCTCCGTCTCCGTCTCGCGACCGTCGCGTCTCCGTGCTGATGGCCTGCATCCGCAACAGGCTGTTGACCCCGCCGTGAACCGCCAACATACTACCCGGTTTGAGGCAGCGCATCACGGTCGAAGAGGCCGGGCGCAAAACCGCGCAGGGCCCTAAAGGTCAACGCACGCCCGCACACTCACCGACTCCCTCATCCCCCGTGCCCAAAAGCGCCCGGCCGGACAAGGAGCCCCGCGGGGGACACGTGGTCCGGCCCCCGGCGCCCAGGCGGCGTGACAGCGCGGCAGAAAGGGCGCGCGATGTCAACCCGCCTGTCCAACCTCCTCCCCAGGCCACTGCCAACCGACCGCCATCGCCAGGCGCTTTGGCGCGACTGCGACAGCCCGCCCACCCACGCCCCCCGCGCGCCGCCGCCCATGAACCTCTGCTCCCCGCCGCAGGCCAGCGGGCGGCCGTGGACCCCATCCCAGGGCCGGATCATCGCCCAATGGGGCATGCGGCTGCCCCCAATCGTCCGGTGCAGGCCGCCGATGGCGCTCCCGCGCGGCCTGGCGTCCAGCCTGGATTTCGCCAAGGTGAAGACGGAGGACGAGTTCCTGGCGACGCTCAGCGGCGCGGAGGCGGCGGGGGTGCTGCCCGGCGATGTGGCGCGCATCTGGCGGGACTTCTACTTCAGCTACAAGGAGGCGGTGCTGGGGTCGGGGCGCCCGGAGGCCACAGAGGCGCTGGTGGTGGAGGTGCAGGCCAGCATCGCGGAGCGCGTGCTGGTGGACATGGCGGACCCCTACACCTTCCCTTCCTACCACGAGAGGGTCCTGGCGCCGTACAATTACTTCGAGTTCGGCCAGCGCTACGCGGGCGCGCTGATCGACTTTCAGAATTCGGTGGTGGGCCACCTCGAGCGGTGGGACGGCGTTGAGGCCCAGATCGAGGCGGGGCACAACGTCGTGCTGCTGGCCAACCACCAAACGGAGGCGGATCCGGCGGTGTTCGCTCACATGCTGGGCGCCACCCACCCGCGCCTGGCCCAGGACGTGATCTACGTCGCTGGGGACAGGGTCGTGACGGACGCCATGTGCAAGCCCTTCTCCATGGGCCGCAACCTCTTCTGCGTGCACTCCAAGAAGCACATGGATGACGTGCCCGAGCTCAGGGAGGAGAAGATGGCCAACAACAGGCGCACGCTGGCCGTGATGGCCCGGAAGATGAACGCCGGCGGGCTGCTGATGTGGATCGCCCCCTCGGGGGGCAGGGACCGGCCGGACGACGCGGGGGCCTGGCGCCCGGCGCCGTTCGACGCCGCGTCCGTGGAGATCTGCAGGAAGCTGGCCACGCGGTCAAAGGCCCCCGGGCACCTGTACCCGATGGCTATGCTCAGCTGGGGCATGATGCCGCCGCCCAAGACGACCAGCAAGGCGCTGGGCGAGCGCAGGATCACGAACTACTCCGGAGTGGGGGTGTCGCTGTGCGAGGAGCTCGAGCTGGGGGATACCGCGGGGCAGAACGGGAGCGCGGAGGGGCTGGCGGGCCTGGCGGAGGCCCGGGTGGTCGAGGAGTACAACAGGCTGGTCGCGGCGGTGGGGGACCCCAGGGCCAGGGGGACCATGCCCGAGTGTGTGCAGCCCTGGCTCAGGACCGCTGTGGGCGTCTGACCAGTGTTTGGCTGTTCCTGGTCCTTGTACTTGGTGTGGGGATGACTCGGTTCGGTTCTGCCGGGCGGTTGTGGCGCATCCCGGCGTGGGCTGTTGCGCATGGGCGGAGTTCGCCACGAATTCTTTGTGTTTGGTGTTAGTAGGCGGGGCCTTGCGGCCCCGCGTGCCGCAAGCGGGTTGCGGGACCCAAGTGTGACGTGGGTCGGGAGGGGTGTGGTGGTCCCCATCGTCACGTCCTTCGCCGCGCGCATTTCAGCGGCATGTACAATTTTGCGAGGATTATTGGCAGCCTGGGAGGTTTGCACGGCAACAGAGATGCGTTGTGTCCTGCAAATGAATTGTATATATCAGCAATCGCTTGTGGATGTGCATCACCACTGCATGGCCCCTGTTTTCTATCACCTGCTTGTGTGTCCTCCTGCCCTTTGTCACCCCATAAGCACAAATCACCCTTGCATTTTTGCACTCAGCCGTTCTGCGTTTTGAAAATTTAGCATCGGTTCCATTCCTCCATATTTTACCCAGTCAATGCTGTGTTAGGTTCTCTCTGCCTTGCATCACCTTGCAGGCAACCATTGGAGCAGGAAAAGTGGCTCGATGGCATTGTGGAGAGACACAAAGGCATCCTTGTTGACCATGTCAAAACTCACGTGGTCATTCTGGTGGTGGACGGGATTGGCCAGCCATGTGTCCTGGTGGATGCTATCTGATAAGGGCAAAGCTTGGGAAATGTACAATCCTTGTCCATTCAGCAGGAGACATGCGCCATGGGGCTTCAGTTATACAAAAACAAGCCAGATGACACAGTCATGACATGGTTTGCTCAAAATCTAACTATGTCATTTTGGCAAATGTGCTGCAAAATCACATGGTCCATAAACACATTACTATGTACTAATTCTGTACTATACGGTTCTGAGGGTACATAGTTGAATTTGTGTCCCATACATGATAATGTAATTCTGTATTGCAAAACCATGCATGGTTTGTGGCGCCACAAGCCCCAGGGTGTCATCAATGTTCGGGCCCAGCCACAAGAAAATACGATGTAGAACAATTGAAGTCTGTATCGGCCAAGATTGTTCCCAAATATCCACATCGGCCACCAAACATTATGAAGTACACCAAGGGGGAAGCTAAAACAAAATCCAATTGAGAAAATCCATTGCGTTGCTATGTGAGCACTGAAGAAGAGACCTTAGCTTCACGTGGAAACCCAATTGAAATGAGCTCATCAAACCAATGCACTTGCAGCCAAGCCCAATCCTCGGAGATCAGCAAGCGAAAACGGAAGGAAGGTGGAGAAGGAGGGAGCTACCGCCCCTTGCCACACATCTGACTACTGATTCAGCATGCCCGAGTTGCATTGCTGCCCCAAACAGTGATACATTCACATCTCCGCCCACCTCGTTTGACAACCCCACAGCGAATGCCTAACGAGTGTTCCATCTTCGCGATCGAATGGCCTACCTGCCCCACCAAATGAGGCACGGCGCTCTTGGGCAACTAGAATACTCGTGCATCTAATGTGCCAAGTCCAGCAGGTGTAAAACAGACTTAAAGGTCACTCGCCAATGGTTGGGAAGTTAGAGAGGGGGAGGATGGCACCACCGCAGCGTGGGATTGAAGCCTCGTGATGAACACTACCAGCACTTCGGTTTTGTGAGGATCAAAGGCAGCAACGACCTTAAGTGTCATGCTTTCAGAAACCTCCACATGTTAACCATCACTCCCATTGGGTTTAGCTCCAGGGATCATCCCCCCATGTGCTCCCTAGCCCATGACTAGAATGGTCATGAATCGCTCCTTGCTAGAAACAAACATCTCTTGGAAAATCGTTGTATCACCTGGCAGAAAGTTACCCCGTGGTAGCACATGCGGGGAAGGACACCACTCACAAGCCGCCGTAGTCAAGACGCTAAAAACATTCACAGTAATGTGTGTATTAACAATGTGATTTTGGGACCACATTTGCCAAAAAAACACGATTAGATTTTGAGCAGACTATATCATGACTATGTCATCTAGTCATCTTATTTCAAGCCAGCCGTATTTACCAAACCTGAATCTTACTATGGTGTTGCAAAACTAAAGGAATATATTATATAAGCTCTACTTGCCCCGCTCGCTCACATCTGGGCAAATGCACTACTGCTTTCATGTAAAAAAGTACTGGAGTATCATCTATGCCAATGGGTCTGAATGAATGATGTTCCAATTCGTGTGCATGCAGTTGAAAGCAAACAAGTTTGAGGTTCGAAATAGAGCCTTCATTCAGAGGGAGACAAGAAGAGATTGACCACATTAGACTCGTCTTGGTCGCTTTTCTGTTGTTGGAATTCAAAATCCCTCTCTAGTCGTTTCCTTAAGTCCCGAGGAAAGTCCCTCGTTTCACAATAGGTGTGCAGTGCCATCATCTGTTGCAGGAATGCTTCGATGCTTGGATATTTCTTGACAAGTGTTCAGATCACCAATTATGCCCATATCTATACTCAGTTATGAGCCATCGCGTGATTACTGCTTCACTGCGAATACTGGTGCCCCGAGCGGACCAGAGATAGGATTGGATGCATACCAAACGTACAATGGGCCATTGTCAATGGCTGCTCCAATAACGTAAGCCATGGGCTACATCGACCAAGCAATGGCTTTGTAGCACGCCTATGGCCCTCGAGGCTGAGTTTGGGGGAAATCGTATGCCAGCAAGCAGCAGTAGTGCAAAATGGGTCACGTAACCCCAAAATTTGTCATCCAACAATGCACGCAACATCATCGAAGGACCTCAATCCCATCGAGCGTGTCACCAGGGCCGACCACCTATATCGATTGGCAAGGCACGGAACATGGCGACAGGCAGAGCGCCGTTGTGCCGCCCAACAAGAATTGGAGAGATGGTCCTTACGGACATTCCTGCACTCACGAAACTGAGCAATGCACAGTGTGGCAATAGGGGGCCAGGCCCAAAGCCATGCACCTCCAGCGGGGGGGCTCATCAGGTGATGGCACGATTGCAACACAAGCTCAAACATGAGATTCGAAGAAGGGGGATTGGAAGGCCTTGGGGAGGCCTGATGTTCAGGATAGAAGCTGGGTGTGCACAGGGTGTGATGGAAGAAAGCGCCCATATAGAAGGTGTTGGATCTGACCGAGGAAAGCAATGGCTCCAGGCCGATGCTATGGGGTGTGAGAATGGGGCGCCCGTGAGGTGACCTGGTAGAGGTCAATACCAGAGCCCTAGGGGGCTATCTGTCGTGAAAGATTGGCTACGAAATGCGTGGGGAAGATTCGCACTGCCTATCGAGAGGACCGGGTGGGACACAGCGTGAGAGGAGCAATGGTGCCACGGTCTGACGGGGATGCACGGGGGCAGGAGCCCTAATTTGACTCAGAATGGCACCACGGGATGGTATACCGTTGTCTAAGTGGCAATATTGTATCTGCATCGGGCGCCATCAAGTGGTGCATGTATGATACGACCCTGGAGGAGATCAAAAACGAGTGGGGTGACCAGGAACCAATTGCCCTTCACCCATTAAGGCCAATAATACCCATTATGCATGGATGGTGTTTGATTAACACTCAAGAGGTGTTATGGATAATGTAGGTCTCAACCCCATCATTTTTAAAGGACTACTAGCCAAAATGGAGCAAAAATGCCACATTTAGTTCCCATCCCAATCCAAGAATGGGTGGAATAGGAAAGGGAACGGGTAAGAATGGTAATAGGAATAGGCAAGAACGATGCTTAGAACGGGCCAAGAACGGTAACTAGAACGGAAGTAATGGTACTAGAATGGCCCGTTCCCGTTCCGTTCATAGGGGGACCTGAGATTGCTCAGGAACGGTAACTGGAATGGTAATAACGGGAACAGGAACGGGTGCAGAACGGAACGGGAATAGATACCATTCCCAGCCTAACCACCCGATGTCCGGCCTGACACACCAATACCTGACAGCCAAGATGATCGCCTAGGCTACCGCGCACATGGAAACACGCGACCAGGTAGAGATTTACATGAGAATTTGCCAGAGGAACGCCCAGGATGAGCAAACTTCCATGGGCCGAAGGTGGCACGCGGTGGATGCCATCTTCTACCGTGAAAGGCCGGACAACCCAATATGTTGGAATAAAGAGGAGAACACCAACGACCAGGGCTGGAGCGGAGTGGGGGTAGAAGACAAGTTTGCAAATTATGAGTTCCCCCACGGAGGGTGATGCCGGTACCAGGTCAGCAACACCAAGTGCCTTCAGAGAGTGCAAGATATGGGGGATGAGAGTGAGGCAGCGCGCAGAGAACTTTGTGGGCTAGAAGGCGTCTAGGCCTGGAGTGCCACCCAGGCCAAGGAGGCCCCTTTGGATCCCTACCACTAGCTGAATGACAACCCATGGACCGGCATCAAGCAGCCATGGTGGGGTGGGGATTGGACGCAATATCTATCTGTTCAGAACAACGACAACCAGGAAGGGATGGCCGCATTTGATGGAGTCATCAACCAGCCGAGATCTGCGAGCTTCAACTCCAATGCAGATGACCCATGGCAACCGCACCCCTAGGCACAACGTGTGCAGCCCCTATGGGGAGGAGATTGGCTTGTGGCAAACCACGCTATGGCCTGAGGACCTCGAGGAGGAGGAGTGAGTCGCCGCTCGGGACGGTGGGATTTCACTCGTGAATTAATAATCGAGAACATTGCATAATAGGATATTAAGTTTGGGGAAAAGCACAACACCTTGTACATTATGAACACTCGGGGAGACCACAATGATTGTACAGTAGAAAGTCACGGGTTGGGCCCAAGTGCTGGCCTTGCATATTAAGGTTAGCAGCCGGGGAGCCATGTTGGTCAACACGCTCAGCTCATGGGACAATGTCTCTTGGGGCCTGAACAGGGCAGGATAGACGGGATAAAGGCCAGCGGGCCTTGGGCACTAATGGGTTGGTAAACGGAAGAACAAGGGACAAAATAGTTTGAATTGAACCTGACGGGTATGCCTGAAA